GCTCGGCGGAAGAGGCAGGGCGCCGCTGCCAAGAAGGGCCGGAGAGGGCAGGGCGGGATGCGGGCTTGCGGGCGGTGCGCACCCCGGGGGCGGGAAGAGACTGGGGCCTGCCCCTCCTCGAGGGCGGAGAGCCAGCTAGCCACCGCCTTCAGGGAATGGGCTTATTGCCCCAGACCCACGTGCTCGGGAACCACGCGCGGCGTGCACTCAGAATGCGCTCCGCAGCGACAGGACGCGCCACGGCTGCGAGGCAGGTGCAGGACGGGACGGGGTGGCGAGGGTGGAGGCGGCCAGATGTGGGCGTTTTGACACCTACGCCGGAGCGGAGCATTTCGGCAGTCACACGCAGCTGAACAGCTGCAGACAGCTGGTAAGCCCATGTGCGGGCTAATCCTTGAGCTGGACAGCGGGTCTCCAGTCCGACCGGCAGTCCAGGCACCTTCGTGTGCCCTCCCTTCCGATTCCTGACACCTTCGTTCTTTTCCAGGAGCATCAGGTCCATGCTGCGGCTGGCTCCAGGAGCCAAGGCTTGGCAAAGACTTTATCTGCTCAAGCCCTCGGTCCTCCCTAGAGCCCTGGGAGGACAGGCCCTGCACTTGTGGTCCCGGCTTTTGTCAGAGCAGGGCCCTGCAGAGACCGGCGGGCAGGGCCAGCCCCGGGGCCCTGGGCTTCCAACCAGGCTGCTCATCACAGCCCTACTGGGGGCTGGGCTGGGTGGAGCCTGGCTGGCTATGAGGGCTGAGAAGGAGCAGTGGCGGCAGCAACGGCGAACCGAGGCCCTGCGCCAGGCTGCTGTGGGCCAGGGCGACTTCAGCCTGCTGGACCACCATGGCCGGGCTCGGGGCAAGGCGGACTTCCAGGGCCAGTGGGTGCTGATGTACTTTGGCTTCACCCACTGCCCTGACATCTGCCCAGATGAGCTGGAGAAGCTGGTGCAGGTGGTGCAGCAGCTGGACACCGAGCCCAGCCTGCCCCCGGTGCAGCCGGTATTCATCACTGTGGACCCCGAGCGTGATGACGTCACAGCCATGGCCCGATATGTCCGGGACTTCCACCCCCGGCTGCTGGGCCTGACGGGATCCCCTGAGCAGGTCGCCCAGGCCAGCCGCAGCTACCGTGTGTACTATCAGGTCGGCCCCAAGGACGAGGACCAGGACTACATCGTGGACCACTCCATTGCCATCTACCTGCTCAACCCTGACGGCCTCTTCACTGATTACTACGGCCGCAGCAGCTCAGCTGAGCAGATCTCAGACAGTGTGCGGCAGCACATGGCTGCCTTCCACAGTGTCCTGCCCTGAGCTGCTGCAGCCCGACCCTGTAGAGCCCTGTCAGTAAATGGCATGTTTGACCTGTGTATCATACATGGCAGCAGTCCATGGAGGACTCACAGCCCTTCTCTCGGCACAGAGCAGACTCAAAGGGTCTTTGCGGGTAGAATGGATGGCAATACCACTTTATTAGGATGGGCCAGCAGGAAGCAACACTGGGATGAGCAGTACTTGGTGCCCAAGCACACATGCAGGACAGGGCTGCGGGCCCACGACGCCTCGTGCTTGTCTCAGCACTCCCCACTCAGGGCTGGGCCGTGGATGGGGAAGCATAGGTCTGGAAGCGCTTGTGGGCTCGCTGGTGTGTCAGCAGTCTCAGGGACATGGTGTCCACAGCTGTCTCCAGCCCCGGCTGCTGGGCAATCTCCACTGTGTAATCATTGGCCTGCAGGGGAGAGGCGTCAGCAGGGTCTAGGAACCAGTTCCCCACCCCATGCACCCGAGGCCACTCACCAGCTGCAGGGAGGCCAGCATGGAACGGCACACCTCGAAAGCAGGCTGGCCAGCCACCAGCTCCGCAAAGGGACACCACTGGTTGAGCTGGGGGAACTGTGAAACCAGCTGGTCCCCATAGGTGTGGATGTCAAAGGATACGTGCTGCTCCTGCATGAGGGAGGAGGGTGTCGGCTGCAGGCATGGGCGAGGCCAGGCCAGACAGACCCAAGGCAGGTGCAGGAAGCGCCAGGCCTGGGCGGTGCCACCTCACCTGCTCCTGGATCAGGGGCTGGATGGTATCCTCCCAGTCCCTGATGCGCTGGCTCAGCTCTGTCTCCTGGACAAACTTCTGGGAGTTGGCGATGAAGAGCTCCTAGGGGAAGGCCAGCAGACGCTACTGCTTCATGTACAGGGCCATCACCTGTCTTTGCCCAGCTCCCCCCACCCGTGGCCCAGGCCTACCACGTTCCTTCGAACCAGCTCCTCATAGCTCAGGGACACTGGCATGGCCTCTGCATCTGGGAAAGGGGCAGCCATGAGCTCTGCAACTGTGGGGCTGTGCTCTCCCCTCCCTCCCTGTCCTCACTGCAGAGGCCCCTTTGCACCCTCTGGCCGGCTGCCCACCCTCGGGCTTACCCAGGTCAGCAGCTTCCCTGGAGTTTGCCCCCTCAGGCTCCATGTACTCCTCGGGCTCTAAAAAGTCATCTGCAGGGAGATGGAAGAGAGGCCCACAGGCAGCTTGTCAGCTGGTGGCAGGTGCTGACCTCCCACCTGTCCCCCTGGCAGGTACCCGCCTGCTGCCCCCAGGTCCTCCAGGGGATCATCCAGGCGGTCCTCTTCTGTAGGCCACAGTCCCTCCTCAGACTTCGGCAGCCACCGCTTAGCCATCTGTCCACAGAGACACCTATGAGGGGCACTGTCACCTCCCGTCAAGGCCCCCAGGGTCCCAGGCCACCACCAAGACATCAGTACGTGCCTCTCTCCTCTGCATCTTCCGGAGGGTTTCCAGCTGCTCCTTCACATGTGTCCAGTACAGGACTTCCATGTCTGCAGACAAAGGCCTGGTGAGGACGTCCTCACCCTGCCCAGGCCCATGCCAGTCCACCCAGGGCCTCGGCAATGCCAGGCACAGGACAGGGATGGGGGAGGGCAGAGGAGGCCTGTCCTCCCTGAGAAGAGTGTACACAGGACCTCAACCTCACCTGCAAAGGACGGGCCCTTCCGCCGGGACCTCCTGCTGTCAGCATGGTCGGCATCTGCGAGAGAACTTGGCTGTGAGAACTCGGGGAGCAGGCCCAGGGCTGCTCACATTAGAAAAGGGGTGCCGATCCTTCCTGGCCCAGCCTCCAGCTCCCAGGGTGCCCCACCACACCACTCCCACTCACAGGCAGCTAGGTACCACTGGTGGAAGTCCTGCAACTTGGTGGCACCCTTTCTCTTGCGCTTCTGCCCTGGAGCCTCCTCCACACAGGGGGGCATGGAGTACGGCCGACCTGGGGACAAGCGGACTGTGTCTCGGGACGGCTGTGGGGTCGGGTGCAGAGCCCCTCCCACCCCTACATGCCTCAGCAAACCTAGCTGGGCACCCGAGTGAAGGTGTCCCCAGCAAATCACCTTTCTTGAAAGGCTTAGAATCCAGGGAGCCGAAGGGGTCCAAGCTCTGCCAGGGGTCTGGGGTTTCCTGCACACAGAGAACACACAGAGCTGCTAGGACAGTGGGGAGTGCACGCCCTCCCCCCGCAAAGCCAGAAGGCCAGAGCAGCAACAGCCCAGGATAGGACCCGCACACACACATCCTGGATCAGAGCAGGACGTGCGGGAGGGAGGGAACCAAGATCTCTGGGAAGAAGGCTTCTTGAAACAAGTGCAAGAGGCCAGGCTCAGTGGCTCAGCCTATCATCCCAGCACTCTGGGAGGCCAAGGCGAGTGGACTGCCTGAGCCTGCAGGTTTGAGACCCACCCGGGCAACTTGGCGAGACCTTGTCTCTACAACAAATTGAAAACCGGGTGTGGCAGCGCATGCCTGTAGCTCCAGCTACTTGGAAGGCTGAGGCGGAAGGATCGCCAAAGCCTAGCAGGTCGAAGCTCTGGTGGCCAGAAGCATGCCACTGCACTCCAGTCTGGATGACAGAGTGAGACCCCAACTCAAAAAAAAAAAAAAAAAAAAGAGAAATGAGAGCAAGAGCCAAGGGCCACAGGCTAGGAGCGCCAGAGGCCAGCAGGAGCAAGGGCATGCTGGGCGGGTGGTGGGGTGCTCACATCCACCCCCCGCCCGCCAGGGGGGTCAAGGCCCCAACGCTCCTACCTTTAGGTGGGACGCAGACTCCGGGGCACCCCCTCGCTCCCGCAGTGTGTACCTTCTGGGCAAGGCGGCATACTGCAAAGACACAGCCATAGGGTCTTCTCTCCCCCTTCTCTACCCAAGGCTCTGGGTACCCCAGCAGCTCTGCCCTGGGGCCAACTTGTCGAGCACCTGCAGGGAGCCTCTTTGGGGGCAGGAAGTCCAAACAGAACAAGGACCACAAAGTAAAACAACCCCTAAGAAAAACCTTAAGACGTTCACAGAAAGAAACCAGGGATCATAGGGTGCTTTTTTTCCCTCAAAAATACAAAAAATGAATAAAATACGACCCACATCCATGCTATCTACCAACCAGTATTACAGAATACTAACGTTTTCTCCTGTAAGCATTAGATTGATTTGTTTTTAGTAGATAAAAAGGAAGAATGTCTTAGTTCCAGGCTGGACAGAGTCGCCTTGTGGGCTGAGGGAGGCAGCAAAGGCCTCCAGCCCACCCTTCCTGCCAGCCTGACCACCAAAGAGCCGGCCTTGAGACCAGCTGCCACCCAGGAAGCTGTGAGCTCCATGGGGCTTGGGCTCAACCCTCCGGGGAGCACCAACTGCTCAGAGGGGGAGGAGTGTGACGCTGCCATCCCAAAGGGCTGGCTGGGCCTAGGACTGGCTTCCAGAGACCACAGGCCTGGACTAAGGCCACAGCGCCCTCCTCAGGTCAGGTGGCTCCCAGAGTCAGGCTCGCCCAGGTGACAGCTCAGGCGCTGCAGGCCTCAGTGTGGATCCCACCTGCTGCAGGCTCTGGGGCTGCTCGGGTTCCAGAGGGGCCTTGGGGGCCGTGGCTTCCAGGCGCTCTACTGCCTCATCTGCGTCCTCGTCCTCAGCTCCGCCAATTGGGCCTTCTGGGGAGGGGCCTGGGCAGGGAGCAGGAGACAGTCAGCCCTGAGGAGGCCAGAGTCCGTCCAGCAGCAGGCTGCCCTTGGCCAGACCAAGGAGCAACTGACGGCCCACTCCTCTTCTCAGCTCTATTTGCTAGGAGCCAGAGAATCCACCAAGCACCCTACGCTAAATGCCGCCATTCATGTCTGCCCAAAAAGAGGAGACCCGGGAGGGCGGCCAGAGGGCAGTCACCGAACCAAGACAGGCTGAGGTTCAGGCGGGACAGGGGCCCAGGCCCAGGGGGCTGCTCCAAGACTGTAGCCACTTCCCACTATGCCTCACCCACTGCAGGCCATGGTGAGTGAGAGGCCGCAGGCTGAGGCAGCTGAGAGCAGTCCCACTCAGAGCCCGTCCCCCAAGCCCTGCCTTCCTGGCCCTCTTCAGTCCTGCCCATGTCACCCGGGGCTGTCTTCTCACCTGGCTCCTGGCAGAAGTTGAGCCCAGGAGTGGGGCTCCAACACACAGAGACCTCCATTGGCTGCTCCTCAGCCCTTCCAGCATCTGGATGAGACAGGAATGGCTAAGGTCAGCCCAAACGGCCCCCACCTGGTGTCCAACATGCCCCTCCAGCAGGCCCCCAGGCAAGCTTAGGTCCCTGGTACTCAGACCAACTGTGACCACGTTGCCCAGCAACCCTGTCCCAGCAGACAGGTGAGGGGCCAAGCTCCTGCCACCCATCCAAAGCAGAGTAGGCACCCAGGAAGAGACAAGAGCTGGCAAGTACAGGCACCCCTCAAGTCCACTCCAGAAGACCCTCTGTTCCTTCCTTCCCACCAAGCCCCTGCATCCAAGCCCTCACCCTTCTGAGTCCTGGGCACAGGGGACATGCCCGCTGGCTCCATGGGGGATATGCCTGTGGGCTCCAACATGAAGGCCCCTCTAGGGTGGGGGGTGCACGTGTTCATCCTGAAATCCTTCCGGCTGGCCAGAACCTCACCCTGACGGCTGTGCTGGCGGAGACACGCCTGCTGCAGAGGCGCTTCCCAGGCAGGCCTCGGCCCTCCCCCACCCCCACGGGCTCAGCTCCAAACCTGTACAGGGGATTGCTGTTCTTGTCTACCTCATCGGGGGCTACCAGGGCCATGGGCAGGGGAGGGATGAGGACCTCCTGTGGGGAGGCCAGGGCTGGGTGAGCTCCAGGTGGGAGCCACATGGCAACACCACCTTCCAGTGCCCTGCCAGGCACAGTGCCCCTGGGCCAGCCCCACCCAGCCCAGAGGGCCAGGACACTCACACCGGGCGCCTGGTCGTTCTTCAGGTTCACGTTAGCCCTGGAGTCGGGGAAGTCATCCAGCGACAGGAACTGCAGGGAGACAAGGAGAGCTCACAGGGCGGGCCAGCAAGCACACAGCGGACAGGTGCCACCTGTCCAGGAAACCTCACCTCATCTTCAGCCTCCTGGGGGGCCCTGGAGCTGGCATTCCCGTTGGCCCTGTCTTCCTGCACTGAAGAGAGCTGCTTGGCCCGCCTAAGAGAGAAAAGTGCCCATGGGCATGCCAGGAGGCCGCAGGGTGGCCCACAAAGAAGGCCCCTGCCTCCTGGCCCCCGACTCCAGAACTCACCTCTTGCCAGAGATGAAATCGAGAGCCTGGTACACCAGCGAGTACAGGTATTCCACCTGGTGGCCAGAAGCATCAGTGAGGACCCAGAGCGCGGTGCTCACCCCCAGGCCTGCCTAACAGTGCACACTACAAGACCAAGCCACCACCTCCAGGTCTCCAGCCAAGTCCTGCCGATTTTGCCACCAAAAACAGCTCTCAAACTAGTAGTCACATCAGAATGACTCCACCATTTGAGGTCACCTAATTCTATCCCCTGCCCTATGCTCCACACAGCAGCAAGCACAGCCTTCTCCACATGGGATGCCGGTGACAGGACGGTGCCCACAGTGTGCCTCATACAGTCCCGGGCCACCAGGCCCTGCAGGTGAGGCTTCTCATACGCTGCCAGCCAGCTGGGTCCCAGCCACGCCTCTGACCACGCACCCTGGCATCTCCTCGTCAGCCCTTCCTCCTCAAGCCCTGGCCCACGCCACCCAACCTGCGACCACATGCCAACAATCCCTCTGAGTCTCTGATGGCCCGTCCCAGCTCCAGCCACAGTGGGCCTCAAGACAGATCCCGTCACTCCACTTCTTGACCTTCCCCTCCATGGAACACAGGTCCCAGCATGAGGGCAAGGGTTGGGGGTTTTCAAGGGGCTGGCAACGAGGCACCCACAAGGATGGTGGGGAAGGGTGGAATGTACGCACGTGCCACCCCAGAGCTACTGCCAGGTGTCACTCCTTCCGGGACAACAGAGCCCAACACAAGGCCCTCCCTGCCTGACCGTGCCATTTTAAGTCCAAAATTGAGAATCAGGAGTAAGGCCTGAGCCACAGAAAGGCAGATCACACACAGGGGACAGCCGCTGCCACTGGCCCCAGCAGGAGAGCTGACTACAGTCCTGCTTGCCACCAAACATCAAGACAGCGGCCGGGTGGGGCCCACCTTCTTACTGTAGACGCAGGCCGAGCCCTGGATCAACAACGCTGCCTCAATGAAGTTCATTGTGGTTTTGCCTTCGTCGAAAGAAATGCAGATCTGGTCCAGCTGCAAGAAAGAGCAGCAGGGCAGGGAGGTTGAGGCTGGTCAGCGCGCTTCTCCCAGAGGCAGCCCCCACCTCGCCTCCTCCCACACCTCTGGTCAGTCCCTGCAGAACAGCCCCGCGGCTGCAGCCCCAGCTGGCTGTGGGCTCACTGGTGCCCCAGGGTTTTTGTTAGGAGGACAAGTCCTTGTGCTTCCTCCACTTGCTGCACAAAAACCTGTGGCTGGGAAGCAAAAGCCCCAGGGCACACTGTTCCCGAAGGCCAGAGCCACACCCCAGCTCCCCCATGCCGGAAGAGTGCAATGCTGTGCCCTTCCTGGTCAGGACCAGCTCGGACACTCTGGCACCAAGAAGGAAAGGGAAGCCCCGAGGTGGGGAACGCAGAGACAAAACGCTGATGCCATCCTTAGAGCAGAGCTCGGGAAGCAGAACCAGTGAGGCATCATCTCTGCAAGCTCCCTGGGCTCCTGAGCCCCAGTTACCCGCTGGTGTCCCAGGCGCCCCACCCTCAGCCCTCTCCTCTTCCCAGGGTACACTCTCTGCCATGAGTGTTCATCCATCCCGGGCCCAGTCTGCCAGACACACGCCAGCAATCCCCCAAGCCAGCACCAGCCCAGCGCTCTCTGCCGGGCTCTGGGACTGCATTCACAGTTGGCCTGGGGGATTGCTGCCCACTGCTGTCTCCACCAAGCAGCTCCTCTCCACGCTTACCCAGGATCCCCCACAAGCCAGCCTTCCCTGTGCTCCTCTGAGCAAACGACACTGAAGCCCTGCGTGCTTCTTCCAGCTCTTTAGTTTTGGTTTTCCGTCTGCCTGGAACACCCATCCCCACCTGTCCCCAGTGTGAATGCATCTGCGGAGCCGCCCTCAAGCCCTGAGGCCTCAGTGCCACCCAGGAGCACGATCGTGTCCTTTAGTGGACTGTGAGCAGCATTCGGGCAGTTCCAACCTTCAGTTCAGTGTCTGGTGCTGGTGGCCAATAAGTGTTGAGGGACACAAGCAGCGGCAGCTCTACGCCTGAAAAACAGAGCAAGCTGGCCGGGTGCGGTGCTCATGCCTGCCCTCCCAGCACTTTGGAAGGCCAAGGCCAGAGGATCACTTGAGCCCAGGAGTTCCCAACCGCCTAGGCAACACAGCAAGACCTTGTCTCTTTAAAAAAAAAGGACAGGCAGAGCTCACCAGAGGCAGGAGGATCACCTAAGCCTAAGAGGTCAAGGCTGCCATGAACCGTGGTTGTGCCACTGTGCTCCAGCCTGAGTAACAGAGCGAAGTCCAGTCTCTCAAGAGGACGGGAACATGAAGGCGGCTAGCAGAGACTAGACACCATCTACTCAGGAAAATGAGCACCATACAATCATAGGCCAAGCACAGGGTGTGTTGGGGAGAGGCAAGATTGTCGGCACCAGGCAGCACAAAGAGGGGGAGTCTGGGAGGATATCACCAAGGGAAGCCGTTTCCGTTTTTTTTTTTTTTCCAGAGACTGGGTCTCGCTCTGTCACCCAGGCTGAAGCACAACAGTGGCATGGCCATGGCTCACTGCAACCTCAATCTCTTGGTCTTAAGTGATCCTCCTGCCTCAGCCTCTCAAGCAGACGGGACTACAGGCACGTGCCGTCACGCCCAGCTAACTTTTTAGTAGAGACAGGGACCATGTTTCCCAGGCTGGTCTCAAACTCCTGGGCTCAAGTGATCCTCCTGCCTTGGCCTCCCAAAGCACTGGTATTACAGGCATGAGCCACTGTCCCCAGCCATTCTTGAAGGACAAAGGGAGTTTGTCAGGTCAGTGAGGGAGGGAGAGAAAACAAGAGTATGACAAGTCTGCAGAAATGTGAGGAACTGGAGCGAGTTCAGGACTTCAAAAGCCTGGCCCAAAATAAGGGAATGTGGCCAGGCTTGGTGTGGCTCAGGCTGTAATCCCAGCACTTTGGGAGGCCAAGGCAAGTGGACTACCCGAGCCTGTGTGTTCGAACCAGCCCAGGCAACTTGGCAAGACCTCGTCTCTACAATAAATCAAAAAATTAGCCGGGTGTGGTAGCGCATTCCTGTAGTTCTGGCTACTTAGAAGGCTGAGGCAGAAGGATCGATGGGGTTCAGCAGGTATGCTGGGGTGGCCGTGAGAGTGCCACTGCACTCCAGCCTGGGCGACACAGTGAGACTCCAACTCAAAAAAAATAAAAGAAAGGAATGTGAAGGAGAGGGTGGTCCTGGAAGCCGGACTGTAGAGCTGGCCCTTCCCTTCAGGGACCCTCAGCTCAGCCGGCTCCCAGCACGTCACACTGCATCCATCTTCTCACAATGCCAGGCTAGCCCTCCCGGTTAAGCCCAAACCCACATGTCCAAATGGCTTCTTCAGACATCACTTGGACGTGCTAACCAAGATTCATGCTGGACGTGTCCACGCCAAACCCTAACACACCCCAACCTACTCGACCCGCGTCCCAGAGTCTTAGCTCCTTCCTCCCTTCTCTCACCTCCTGTTCACAACCGGTCCCCTGCCACCGGCATGCTCCTCTCCAGTGACTTCACTCTGGCCCTTGACAGAGCTCTTTCTGCCCTTTGCTGCCGCCTGCCCACGCTTCACACACCGGCCAGTGCCTACGCCACTCTGCTCAGACTCTGATGGCTTTCTGCCACTCCTAGGAAAAATATCCTGCACGGAGCCCATGAAGGAAGCCTCCACACTGGCCAGCCTCCATCTCCAGTTACCTGCCCCCTCTGCTCACTAGAGTTGTCACAAGGGCCCACCTCCAGGCCCTCCCTTGAGCGACGCACTTTCCCAACTCAGAACCTTCAAACACTGTGTTCCCTCTGCCTAGAACACTCTTCAGCTCACCCTGACCAGGCAACTCCTTTTGTTGCCAACAGAATCGGGTCCCCCAGTCGGGCTCTTCTAGAACTCTAAGTTCCTCTTTCAAGTCTCTCATTGGTCTGTGACCACACAAGGACACACGTGGGGGGGAGGGCAGACTCCTCCGCCACCTGTCAGCTGCAGCTTTGGGCGTACTGCTAATGCCGCTGCTGACGGAGCTTGTGTGAGGACCGTGTGGATTTACATGGCAAAGCAGTGTCTGGCACAACGAGCACCAAATGTGTGACATGCGGTTCTGCCTTGGGAGCCAACTTCCCTCAAGGACGGAGTCCTTCAAAGCGGAGGTCACCGATAGCTGTCTGTCACTATCTTCTCAGAGTTTAACACGGCTATTGGTACAGAAAAGACAACCAACAATGAATAAATACATGGATGGAAGAGAATGGCATAGTGACAAGATGTGTTGGAAAAAGAACACTGTGGTAACCGTGTGGAAAATGAAAAGAGAAAGAAAAAGTTAGAAGCCAGGAAATCTGCACTTCAGGGGGCAGACAAGGCTCAAAAAGCAGACATGCTGAGCTCGGTGGCTCAGCCTGTAATCCCGCGCCTTTGGGAGGCTGAGGTGAGTGGATTGCCTAAGCCTGCGGGTTCGAGACCCGCCTGGGCAACTTGGTGAGACCTCATCTCTACAATAAATCAAAAATCAGCCGGGCGTGGTAGCGCGCACCTGTAGTTCCAGCTACTTGGAAGGCTGAGGCGGAAGGATCGCCGGAGCCCAGCAGGTCGAGGCTGCGGTGGCCGGGAGCAGCCACTGCACTCCAGTCTGGGCGACAGAGTGAGACTCCAACTCAAAAAAAAAGCAGACATATGAAGCAGGAGGGGCACTGACCAAGCCAAGAAGTAGATTTACCAGGCAACCAGGTCTCCCCAAAGACCCAAGTCTGCAGGAGCTCTGCTGGGCACAGTTCTCTGCTTTTTCTCAGAGCAGAGAAGTTATCAGATCACATGTTCATTTCAGAAACCTTTATTCCTCACCTACTTTGAGCCAGGCACTCTATTAAGCAGAGGGAACAGCATACAAATAAGGTCCCAGCCCTCCTTGAATTCACATTCTACAGTGGAGACAGCCTGCAAACAAGTAAATAAGCTAAAGAATGACTTATGATAAGCATGCCAAAGCATGTAAAGCGCTAAGACAGAGAGAACTATTTTGGATAGGGTGGACAGTCAATATTTATGTTAAGACCTAAAGGATGAAAAGGACTTAGCCATCAAAAAAAAAAAAAAAAAAAAAATCCAGCCAGGCTCGGTTGCTCAGTCTGTAATCCCACGCCTTTGGGAGGGTGAGGTGAGTGGATTGCCTGAGCCTGCGGGTTCGA